CTTGGAGACCAGGAATACGAGTTTTCTTAGCTAAAACTTCCATCAGCACATTGTCCACACGACAGAAGTCTAGGGAGAGGGGGAACAAAGATGATAATTGAGAAAATAGGATGTGCAAGACTACATTTTGAGCCCCCAAAAGGCTATTTCTAAAGCTGGAAGGATATTTCTAAAGCTGGAAGGATAGTTGGCAAAACAAGAGCGTGAATCTGCTCAACAGAACGTATTTCCCAAAATAGGAGATGAAGGGTAGAAGTTATTTATCAAAACAAAATTTTCACATTAATAAACTTGGTTTAGTTTGGGAGCAAATGCTGTTTAGAACTTTTACTGTGTTGAGGAAAAAGTTACACATACATACGATTTTGTGAATTTTTTTAATGCCATTTGTATTTTTCTTCATGCCATATGTAAAAGTCAACTCCAGATGAATGAAGGACTTAATAGCAAACTATAGCACGTTCATAAGATGTCAATGACTAACTTGCTGACTTTGAAGTGTAAAGAGAGCTCTCTTAAAATGGGCACAGAGTGCACTAACAAGAAAAATGTGGATAAATTCTGAATCTCGATCAACTACATGAAAGAAAACTACCTGAAGTTGAAAAGACAACTGAGACAAGACGTGCATAGAATTGACAAAAGATTGGTATCATGAATATATAAAGAACTACAAATAAAAGGAGAAACAACCCAAATAGAAAAATAGGTTTTGAACAGGTATTTTTATAGAAGAGGAAATAATATGGCCAATAAATATACGAATAGACACTTAACCAGGGAAATGCAAACCAAGATCACAATGTGATATATTTGCCATTTTTAGCCATTCGATTAGTATAATTTAAAAGTTTAGCCACACCAAATGTTCAAGATGGGGTGGATTGAGATCTTTTACACACATTGCTGGTGGGAGTTTTGTATGCCTTTTGAAAACAATTTGGCATCTTGTAAAGTTGAACATTCACATCTCTACAACCCAGCAATTCCCTCCTGAGTATATTTCTTAGAACTCTTGAACACGTATGCCAGGAAATGATAAAAATATTTGCAGCTGCACTGTTTGAATTAGCAAGAAACTGGGTACAATCCAAATGTCCTGTGGTCCCCAATCCCCAGGCCACAGACCAGTATCTGTCCGTGGCCTGTTAGGAACTGGGCCGCACAGCAGGAGGTGAGCGGCAGGCTAGCTAGCAAAGCTTCATCTGTATTTACAGCTGCTCCCCTCCCCATCGTTCACATCACAGCCTGAGATCCACTTCCTGTCAGATAAGCGGTGGCACTAGATTCTCATAGAAGCATGAATCCTACTGTAAACTGCGCATGCGAGGGGTCTAGGTTGCGCACCCCTATGAGAATCTAATGCCTGATGAGCTGAGGTGGAGCTGAGGTGGTCATGGTAGTGCTGGGTGTGGCTGCAAATACAGATTATCATTAGCAGAGAGGTTTGAGTGCACAGTAAATGTAATGCGTTTGAATCATCCCAAAACCATTCCTGCCTCCCACCCCCACCCCCTCCCCTTTTGTGGAAAAATTGTCTTCCATGAAACCGGTCCCTGATGCCAAAAAGGTTGGGGACCTTGAAATGGTCATTAAAAGAATGGATACATAAATTGAGTTTACCCAATGACATAATCACCGGCAGAGAAAATGTATCAACTACAGCTCAGTAACATGTTTGAGTTTTAATAATGTTGACT